AAATATTTATTATCTTTAGATTTAGATTTTTGAATAATTAGAGAGAGAGAGAGAGAGAGAGAGAGAGAGAGAGAGTCTAATAAATACACGAAACAAAGTATTTTCCATAGCTTTATATGAAACATTGATTGTGTAGAAAATTATTGTTAATGTTTTATCGATATTTATTGAGTTGAAAACAACATTAATAAACTTATAATGAATTTCACATTTCTTTTAATGACATTTTTGAGACTTAATTATTGTCAGAAAAAACAAAACAAAACAATTCACGATTTCGTGAGAATTTTTGCCATTCATTTGATTTTTAAGAATTTTATGCATAAGAATATTCTGTGCTATAATTTTGACCATATATTTTAGTCATTAATATTTAGTCCAATAACTTGTATTATATTCAATACTTTCATTAAGTGTTTGTTATATTAATATTTTGCTAACTCTTAATGTCTATAAACAGTAGAATTTATATGTAATGAATAATTCATTCATTCTTATAATGAGATGCAATGATAAGCGCATTACCGACATGTAAATCATTAATACTGTATTACAATCAATACGTCTATGCATATGAATGTGTCTTATTAATATTTTATATAATTATAATTGGTAAAATACTTGGTATATAAAATCAATATTTGCAAACTTATTTTTATATCCACCTTATTATTGATTTAAAAAATTATTTTATTATCTAATAATTTGATGATTACTTACAAAATAATTTTAATCAAAATTATAAAGTATTTTATATAGAGTTTTTAAAAAAAATAAAACTAATTTATATTTTAGTGTGTACTATATTTTAAAGTAATTTTAGAAATAAATTTAATTACTTTTAATTGCAAACATAATGAGTTAGTAAGCAATTGATTTGTTGCGCTTCTTATTATAAATAGAGTATAAAATTAAAGCAATTTGTTATGCATTTAATGGACAGACAAACAAAATGTTCTAAGCTTTTGACAGAAATGGGTTCAGGAATAGAAAATAATCATTTATTTATTAGATTATGGACTATTTGTCTCGCTTTGTTGAGCTAATTTTTTCAGTGTACCCTTTTGTATAACTTACTTTTGCACCAAACACCTGTTATAGCTAAATCTTCATTTATTTATGTACTATCTATTGTGTACAATAAATTGGTTAAATTTTTATCTAGAACTAATATTTTTAGACATTTTGTTTTAATATAGTACATTTATTATTTTATAATGATATTTTAATAATAATTATATATTGTTCATTATTAGTTTTTTTACTTTACCTTGAAGTAAATGTCCGTTTAATTATATTTTTAGTTAAGTTAATGATTGATTGAATTTATGATGAATTATTTTTACTTTTTACAAATGATTGAACATTTGAAACGTTGAACTTTTTTTTATTAACAATTTTTTAATAATAACTAGAATAAATATATATTTAACTAATTTTTGTTGACTTAATTTTTGAATTAATAAATGGTTTATAAGTTATCTATTATTTGTTTAAAATTATGTTTTATGCAAAATTATAACATTTAATAAAAATCATTAATTATATTTGTAATCATTTAAATGAATAGTTAAAAAACTATAAAAATACTAAACAATCACAAAACAAAAAATGTAATTATAAATACATTTATAATTATTAATTAAATCCTATCCCTAATCCCACTTCAAAACAAGTTAATGACAAATATCTTTAGGTATTACTTATTATATTAACAATTAAAACAATTTCATTTTCAACAAACATTTGCATTTATAATACATTTTTCGTGACTTTGAATTTCATAAGCATATAATATTAGGTTTGAATGCAGGTATATGTATTTTAAAAGCAATAAACAATATAGTTAATTTAGAAAATACGTGAAACACCTGTCAAAAACATAAACAATTGATTAGATATAAAAATGGTGAAAAATTTTACTCATTTTCCAGTATTTTTGTATATAAACTGCGATTAAAAGGCATTTAGTTTAATACATGTTTGCTATCAAAGTTTTTCATTATGTTTTGTTGAGATTTATATTTAAAATTATTGTTTAATATGTGTTTTCTATTGCTGTTTAAGTTAAAATAGTTTTCAGTCAAAACAAATAATTAAATGTAAATTTTTAGTCTCATAAAATACCATTCAAATGATATAATATAATAATTATAATTGTGATTAATATAATAGCAAAGCAATCAATTATATCCTTAAAGTCTATGTCTTATAAGACTTTTAAAATATATATTTCTTGTGAAATGACGTAAACTAATAATTCAATTGATCCGCAAATTTGTTCAAACATTTCATTTAATTATTTCACTTGTATTTCATTCAATGGATGATAACGTAAGTTATATTATATGGTTATATGGGATTCAAATTATCATTTAAGACTTCAATAAAAACCAATATAAATGAAACTGCAATAAATTATCATAATCCTTTTATTTTTATGAAAATGTATTCTCAATATAATATATAACTATAAATATAAGTGCATTACAACCAAATATGGATAATAATTTACTTTCTTTTTACTGAGCTTTTGTAAAAATGTAAAAGTAAATTATCAATGCAAATTTATTGATTGCATTTTACAATAACATTGTCTAAATTAACATGTTTATGTTACATTGTAATATTTAAAATATTCATACGTTTGTAAGATAATTTAGCTGTATGTTCTATAATTAGTATAATTTAAGATATTTAAACCATACATGTACTTATATTTGCTGCGAGATTTCAACCGCAAAACATTAAAAAACAATATTTCTCAAAATATTTAGATATTGTACTTTTCAGACTTATTGTAACAGTAAAAAAGCAAAATGACATATTTATAATAAAAATACTTATGACTTATATTTAGTTTTGAGTTTCAGTCTTAAATTCACTCAATGAGAGTTTTGCGTGTATTCCAGTAAATGTTTCATTCATATAAGTATCCCACAAATATTTTTCATATAAAACATAAATGTAAAGTCAGACACCAATAAATTGTTGCAATTGTCTATTTGTATGAAATGTAAAAATAGTCATTAAAAATATTTTGTATTAAATTTATCAAAAGATATTGTATATGCTACAAAATCCATTAATTTTATTATTTTTGTTGAATATCAAAACAAATTATATATTTGTCTGTATGTCTCAAAACGATGAATAAACTAAAATAAATAAATTTTCTAAAATATAAATTTTTACAAAAAGTGCCAATAAATTACCATTTTAAATGATAAATCGCTTTTTAAATATAGAGTAAACATAATATGCGTTTATTCAAATTCCTGACTTAAAAAGGGTTACCATAAAAAATAATTATGATTTATTTCTGCCTTAATTAGTTTTAGTTCACATAAATGTCATTTCAGTTATACGTTAAAAACGGGTGCATATTATGCAAAGTTACATCAATTTTTAGTGCTATGTAATGAGAGGGTAGCCAACTGTCTAATGTAATTTATTTACCACTGGATAATTCAATGCCAAGGCACCCCTAAAGTTTAATTGATATAGGTGATTTATTTTTGTTTTGTGCAATAAATATCTCGCAACAATTACTTAGTTCAATTAAATTATAATTGCCTTAACACAAGCTGTTGAAAAACACAGTGTTTTATGTGTTTATAGAATTAACGCTAACATTAATGATCACGATGTTTTTTTGGGTTATATATTGGGTCTTTCCTATTCATTTAATGTTAAAAATACTTGTATTGATTGTCAGGCGCTCGGATAATCTTGGTGATTATTACGTGATTATTAATTCATAACATTTCCGCCATAGATAGAAAACAATATATCATTTTAAACATGATTAATTGGTAAGACAACAAACATGGCTAAAAACAAAAGACTCGTGATAATGAACCATATTGTTATTTATCTGTAATGGTATACCCCTTGGCTGTGCCATCGGTTCCAATCCATAGACCACTTACTTTAAACAATATATAATAATATAGTTTAGAAATAATTAACGCATCACTGAATTGAGACTTTTTTGTTGTCGAGAGACACATACCTATGCCCTAAGATTTTTGGCATAAATCTTCCCTACAGTATCGCATCCATTGTATATTAATTGTCTGTTTACAAGTGACCAGGGTCATTGCACAATAATTTTGCTCTAGGGTAAATATTAATATGATTTTATCAGCTAGTTATGTAAAATGTTGTAGTTTTATGTTGTAATAGGGGATTAAAATGTATCGTTTATAATAGTTTGAGTTTTAAATAGCAGTGCTTAGACTGTAGCCGAAGATTATGACAAATACAACAATATTTTCGTGTATAAAAAACTACTGTCTCTTTGTATGTGTTGTGAACACAATCTCCGCAATCATTTGAGTTATTATTTGAGAGCAAAATCAAAAAGTTCACTGAATTTTGTGGCGAAAAACCTTTTGGGCAAACATTTCATACGTGTTTTGAGCAGTGTTTGCGTGAAGACAACAGTTGTCTTTCATTTGATCCCATGTTTTACGTGATATATGTTTGACATTATAAAAGACAGTGACTTCTTGTCATTCCTCTTCAGGTGACAATCAAATGACTTGATTTGGCTGAACCTCTCTATAGATAATCAGCTCTTTGTTATAAATTTTGTGTTTTTTAAAAACTTATAAATAATAAAAACAGCAATTTTTTGACACCAAAAAAGTGTTTCACAAAAATATTTCGTAACTTTTATTTTTGTGAATAAGTTTTTGTTGTTTTTTGTGTCTGTTTTGTTGTAAAAGAAAATTATTCATTAATTTTAAACACAGTTTTTAACATAAATGATAATAATTACACAAAAATTATTGTCGGATTAGATATATTGTAATTTATTCTTCACATTTGTTAACAAATTGTTAATTAATTATTAAACAATTCTACAAAATAACTAATTATTTTAATCTATACATCAAAAAGTCTGTGCGATAATAATTAAAAGATATAAATAAAATTATAATAAAGACACCATTAATTAAAATTAAAATAACAAAAATATTGTGTTAACAAAAATGATGAGTGGAAAGCGAAAAGTTAGCAAAATTATCAAAAATCTAATCTCAAAATCCCAAACTATTTTCTAACAAACAGTAACCAAACAACCAAAACAAAACTAATCATGTTCATTTTTCATGTTCACCCCGATCACAATTAACTCGACTCAACTCAACCACAGCGTGAATGTCTGTCGATACATGTGGGACAGGCGGGCGTACAGATGGGCAACGCCTGTTGGGAGCTGTACTGTCTCGAGCACGGCATACAACCCGACGGCCAAATGCCCAGCGATAAGACCATCGGCGGCGGCGACGACT